CTGTCATTGAGTCAACTGGCGTGGTTTCGAATCCCCGGTTGTACGTGACAAGGAGTAGGGTCGCCTGTCCAACCTCGTGGGTTTTCTCCGGGTCCTCCGGTTTCCTCCCACTGCTAAAGACCCCTACGCGCAAGCGAATTATTGAAATAAAATTAAACCATATGTTAGTCCCAAAATGACCTAGTTTGTGTCGAGTGGACGTTAAACCCCATTTCTCTCTCTCTCTCTCCCCCTCTCTCTCTCTCCATCTTCTCTATATCTCTCCCCCCCCTCTTCAAAGAAAAGTAAATACTTACAAACTCCTTTTTAAAGCTAATTGACATATTCTCTGAACACAAACAACATAGGGATGATGATTTCTGTAAAATATAGAATTCAAAACACTAAAATACTGAATGCGCTTAATAATCAGATATTTATTTTTCTTTCTCTTTCATATTTTATAGTTTATAAAACTCCATTATATTGTTGTTCCAATGGAGAGAAAACCATACCAGTGTTGCTATTTCAAAACTTTTCTTGTTGGATATTTTTACTGAAAATAAAGGGACGTAACTCTTCACATTATTTAAGAAGACAGATTCAGACCACAATTGAAAACAATAATATATTCAAATTCATATGTAATAAGAATAGGTGCACCTTGCTATTTTTTATATTTAATTCCCGTATGGTATTCAAATTTATGTCGGTAATTTTCGTACCAAATTATGTGTTTTCTTAATACAGTGTGTTAAAAATTGTGCTATAAGCGAAATTTTGCTGAGACAGCAGCATTTATTCTGCCTACTCTTCAAGATAGTGTTGTTATCTGGCAACCTTTCTTTGTAATTTTAAATACTCAGATAAAGTCATTGTTATTACATATATTAACAAATTTTTATCCAGTCGTTGACAGTTTATATTAAAATTAAAAACAAATTAAGTAAACAATCTACAACAGTATATACACGGGAACTCAGTTTTCATTTGATCCAAAAGGCAAGGCGGAACTATGTTAACAATTCCTGAGATAATTTCTCACTGGGGTCGAACCAGCACCATTTTTCATTGAGCCACTGTACATGTGGCTTCAACATATCTATATCTATGTATACAGCGAATGAACAGCAGACATACGTCAGATCTTGTACAGAAAGTCAGAACCATAAATATGAATTCCCCTATTTAGATGAGGGAGGAAACTAGAGGACCCACAGAAAACCCATGAAGTTTGACTGGTGACCTTACTCATGTATAAGCCGGGAATCAAAACAACGCCAGCGGGAGGAAACCGGAGGACCCGGAGAAAACCCATGAGGTTGGACAGGCGACCCTACTCCTTCTCACGTACAACCGGGGAATCAAAACCATGCCAGTTGACTCAATGACAGACTTTATGGTACAGCGCGCACATGCTAACCATTCAGCCTTCCAACCCCCCTCAGTTAAAAGCAGAGTTAATATGTCTAAAAATGTATGACGGACAGATCCTTTTTTCAACAATCCCCTGCTTCCTTCGCAAGGTACGGTTGGTAATAAAGATAAAATACTTGGCTATACCCGAGCTGTTGTATATTTCCTTGATACGAGAATGCACACTGTAACATGGTGTCTAACGTCGCCAAACTAACAGGTTCAAACACTTCAATAAATTCACCATTTGATTTTTCTAATTTTTTCTACCAAAACAAAAGAAATTATTGAGAATCTTAAAATATGATTTGCATTTACTGGAGATCACGGTGAAAATTAAAATCCTAAATTGTCATTCGCCGATAATGAAATGAAAAAGTGTTTAAAACAGTATACTTTAAAGCACTAACCAGCCTCTATTGAAACCTGCATATGCCATGCAGTGTGTTATAAGGGTTCTTGAACAATCTGATTCAAAAACAGATCCTATTTCGTTTCATTTCGCTTTTTATAGATCAAAATGTCATTTTATTTGTCTGTACTACACTAGGATCTGGAAGAGTTGTTATATAACCTGCGTTCTGGTTGATGTGAGGAATTAGCCAATGAGAGAGAGAGAGAAATGGGGTTTAACATCCACTTGCGCATAGGGATCTTTAGCATTGGGGAAACCAAAGGGCCCCGAGAAAACCCACGAGGTTGGATAGGGGACCCTACTCCTTGTCACGTACAACCGGGGATTCGAAACCACGCCAGTTGACTCAATGACAGGCTTTATGATACAGCGCGCACGTGCTAACCATTCGGCCATCCAACCCCCCAATTAGCCAATGAAACGGTTTATAGCAGCGAGTTCTTGGCGTGCGCTGCATGGAAGTATTGGCATCCTACTAGAAACATGAATGCTGATTAGATAATAAAATCTTTCACGTCAAAAGCTGCCTGATGATCCCTGACGCGATCTCCCCCTATAACTGGTCAGATCTTCATGATTTGATAGAAACTAATTCTGACTTACATTCTAATTTTCTTGAAGAGAGAGAGAAATGGGATTTAACATCCACTTGAAACATACTAGGTCATATGGTTCAATTTTATTTCAATAATTTGCTTGCAGTCTTTAGCAGCATGAGGAAATCGGCCTACATTTATTTCGAAATCCAAATGTCAAGACTTCTTTTATGTGCACGACAATGCAAAATAACAGTACCAAGATTTTCTGTCCCATCTGAATGACTATATATTTTGTTCTTTGCTAGGCCCTCCATCCTACATATTAACAAAGACAAACCCAACCGAAAAATCCTGATGAACTTTTTGGGCCAAGGCGTGGATCGAACATACCGGGTACTATAAATAGGAGTCATACCATTAATATTTCGGTAACACTGTTGTAAATACCAACATAAGGCTGTAATATCTCAAAATGAAAAGCAGCTGTTAAAAGTTTACGATTTCTCTCCCATTTTTTACCATCACTTATCAACAAGCCATCACCTGTATAAAAAATGAAATGAAATGGGGTTTAACGTCCTACTGTTCTGCTCCAAATGAGCTAATGAGATGGGCATATGCCATGCATTGTGCTATGAGGGAAATTTTGCCCGGACAGTGGAACTACGGCTGGCTCTGTTATCGAATTCTAACCGCCAGGGTTTCTTTTATGTGTACGCCAAAGGGTACATGGGGTTTCGTTTTCTAGGCACATCTGAACAACTATGCGCTGTCTCTTGCCAACAATAAAATAATTCATTATGCACATAATTTCAAATGTTTCCAGAAACTATTAAATATCTGTATTTTCAGATTTAAAACTAAAACTGCTCATTGCATGACCAATCTGTGATCTTTCCCAAATAGCCCTTCCTGTCCTATTAAATAACCTGTCTTGTCCCATCAAATAACCCACCCTGTCACATCAAATAATATCACCAGTCACCGAGCTTCTCCAAAATATGAGTATATGACCCTGGCGTTGATCTATAGATAAAATACTGTTTTTAATTATTGCACAACTTACATGACTAAGTGCTCATGTCTGCTTTACAAAATATGTTCTAGTATTTGATTTCCGCATTAGTACAGAGAGAGAGAGAGAGAGAGAGAGAGAGAGAGAGTTTAAGTCCACTCACACAAACTAGGTCATTTCTGGACTAAAGAATGGTTCAATTCTATTTCAACAATTCGCTTGCGCGGAGGAGTCTTTAGCAGTGGGAGGAGATAACCCACGAGAGTGGACAGGCGAAACTACTCCTTGTCACTACACCTTGTCACGTACAACAGGGGCCACTTGGTATAGAATTTCATAGATCTATTGCATGACTTCAAACCTATAGCTACGAAGAGCAATGGACGTTTATTTGTACGTACCTAGCCAAGGCATTAATAGACTGTATCCACTCAAACCCTTGGATTTAGGAGCTGTAGATTTCAAGATGACCTTGACTGTATCTGGATTAACGGTGATTAGTACGGGTCTATGTGGACCAAGCCAGTATAATATCGTTTTATGACCTGCCATTACCAATGGTTTATGAATAAGAAATATGTCCTCCACACTTTTAATCTACAAAAAATAAAAATATGTACATTTAATAGAAATGAAATTCTCTAAATTTATGTCCTAAGCTTTTTGTATCGACAAATAAAAAAATGGTACATTTTAATAGATATTGAACTCATTGTCAAGGGATGAATATTAATGAAACTACAGTGTATACCTTCGATTACTATCGGCCAATCAAATTGCTTTATCTCTGCTCATCATCGAAATGAAATTGGGTTTAACGTCCTACTGTTCTGCTCCGACTGGGCTAATGAAGACGGGCATACACCATAAAGTGTGCGATGAGGGAAATTTGGTCTGGGCAGCGGCACTATGGCCTACTCTTATATCGAATTCCAACTGCCAAGCGATCTTTTACGTGCAATGCTAATACACACACCGGTCCTCAGTTTTTCATCCCATCCGAACGACTAGACAGCTGTTCTTGTCAGGCCCTCTGTTCTGCACCACTGAGAAAGGGAAACCACGCCGGAAAATCCTGATAAACTTTCTCAGCCACGCCAGTTGACTCAATGACAGGCCTTATGATACAGAGCGCATGCGCTAACCATTTGGCCATCCCCACCCCACCCCCATATTTTCTCGTTAGGGGAACTCTCCACCCCCATATCCCTGTCTTTCTGAATAGCCCCCAACCTCATGCAGTGTCTTGCAGGGCTGTGTACGTATTGCATCCAGAAATCGTATTGCAATATATTGTGATACTTGACAAAAAGTATTGCGATAAATTACAGTATTGCAATACTTCGATAAAGTCAGGGTTTATCACAGAGCACAGTTTTTTTTGGGAATGGTTTTATTGTTTTTACAACTTTGGTGTTGTTTACCGGTACTGCAAAGCCTATAATATGACTGATTATGTGAATACGTACGTTTCTTGTCTACGATATCGCCCATGGTGGAAGGGGACGTAAAACTCTAGGAACGAACGAACGAATACCTATTTCACTTTTTTTGTTTTTACAACTTTGGTCTTGGCTTAGCAGACTTATTGTTTACTGCAAAGCCTAAATAATATGACTGATTATAAAGTCTTTATAAACAGTGTAGCTAACATTTGAATATAAAATAAAAATAGAAAAAATTGTGAGAGAGAAATGGGGTTTAACGTCCACTCGACACAAACTAGGTCATTTCGGGACTAACATATGGTTTAATTTTATTTCAATAATTCGCTTGCGCATAGGGGTCTTTAGCAGTGGGAGGAAACCTGAGGACTTGGAGAAAACCCACGAGGTTGGACAGGCGACCCTACTCCTTGTCACATACAACCGGGGATTCGAAACCACGCCAGTCGACTCAATGACAGACTTTATGATACAGCGCGCGCACGCTAACCATTCAGCCATCCAACCCCCCAATATTTTTTGACAGCCCTAGTATCTTGGCATATAGGCTACATCTATGCCTGTCATTCTGTTTATCATTTTAGTCGAGCATACACTAGATTCTGCCAACTAATTTTATCTAACAGCTGCAATTCACAGCATGCCCAAAACAAATTATATGAGTGTCTAGTTCTGTCTCTAGTCTAAAAAAGCAAAAATCTACTGAAATTTAAAATCAATCACAAAAAAAAAAATAAAAAAAAATAAATAAAATTGTGTATAATTACCAAGTGCAGAGTTCCTAAAAACCAATGGAACGGTAAATGTGCAAAGCTTTTCCTTAGATTCAACCATTCCATGTAGCCGGTTACTAAGGTAGCACAATTGTAAATTAAGTATGCCAGAACGGCTGTCAGTCCACAGTAGAGATATATATCGAAAGATGCCATGTCTAAAACTCCACTACACGTTTTTAAAACAAACTTTCCTTCCTCTATAATGTTTTATTTGGAATGGTGTCCCAGCTTTACCGTGTTCTGTTTTGTGCTGTTATCACTCCTTGGAAATAGGTCAAGGGTCATTTGAATTAGAGTTGTTTCCCTTGAATGTTTGACCTGAAAAATGAACTGACACGGTAGGGACTAACTGATTTTTCTATTAATTGTTGACAGTGGGGAATATTTGTCGTATAATATAATTCATGGTCATTGAGTAATAGAGTTCACTAACAATATGATTTCAAACGTTCGCTGGTTTGTATTTGTTTTGTGACCACAGGAGGCTACTAACTGTTGACGAAATCTTGTTGTGTTGGCCATAATTGATCGAGATTATCCAGCCACACTGGTTAGCTGCGTGCTATTAATAATCAAGGTCTTGGGCCGGCTAGATCCTTTTTTTCAGACCAACTAAATTTTCGTCAAGATGGCTGATGAAATGAAACGAAATGGAGTTTAACGTCCTACTGTTCTGCTCCTAACCTGGGCTTTTCCTTGTCAGCCCCTCCCTCCTGCATCACTGACAAGGGAGAACCACGCCGGAAAATCTGGATGAACTTTCTCTGCCGATGCAGGGATCGAACACCCGACCTCCAGGCTAGCTAGCGAGCTAGCGTCTTACCCACTTAGCCACGTGATCCCCCGTCAAGATGGCTGATAAAAATTATGTAAATAAGGTTATAAAATTAGGGCACGTGATTGTTGGCGAGATTGTAGGTTAGGCTTCTATCCCATTTTTGATCGAAATTTATGAAATTAATGAACATTTTCATTCTATTCTTGAAATGAAATGAGGTTTAATGCTCTACGCCTGGCCATCACAGTGTATGAGAAATTTGCCTACCTATGAAAAAAAAGTATCAATTTCGATATCCAATTGTTCCCTGTCAGGCCCTCTACTCTACCCCAATGAAAAAGGAAATCTTGCAGGAAAATCCGCAGGGCCCTTCTAGGCCAACACTGGAGTCGATCCAGTGACAGTCTGGTTAGCTCACTAGAAATGGTTCCACTACTGATTTCTTCCGTCTCTTTAATGGTACGACATTGTAGCTAGTTAGCTCACCAGTGCCCTATAATAGGCTATACACGGATTCAAAACTCCCCGAAACTTTATGGAGTAGCCTAAACGGAGACGGAGGGGGGGGGGGTAATTTATTATTGAGTAAAAAAAATAGGATAAAATAAATACAAATAAAAACATCCGAGTGGAATCTCTGACAGTACAAATAGGATTGAACCCTAACATTTACTTATGGAGAGAGAGAGATATGGAGTTTAACGTCCAATCGACGCAAACTAGGTCATTTCGGGACTAACATATGGTTTAATTTTTGTACCCCCCCCCCCTTTTTTTATGGAATACGCGACCTACGAAGATTTGAGAAAAGAATATATGTAACCCTGGACAATAATTTTATAATATTAGAACACTTAGTATGGATACAGTCACTGTGTTTATTATACTGCAACATTTCAACAAGATTTCACAAGTCGCTTTCAGGCAAATATCTAATACTTTTCTTACCTTTCCTGTTGAATGTTTCTGTGTCGCTAGCTTTGTCTATTTCTCTGTTTTGTTGGGAGACAAATGTCTGCTTAATATTGTATTATCGGCATAAATTTATGCATACCGGTACTAAACTTAGGCTGACTGCCTTAGATTAGCTTCGCCTGAGAACAGACACTAAGCTAATTGACCGACATTTTAAGTCTTAAATCAAAGATTTTAGTCGAAAACACTAAGTATATTTCGAGAACTTTCAGAAGTATTTCTTCTACTTTCATTTAATAAAATTGAAAAGGTTGCACGTAAAAGATCCCTTAGCAGTTGGAATTGGATATAAAAGTAGGCGATAGTGCCGCTGCCCGGGCAAAATTTCCCTCATAGCACACTGTATGGCGTATGCCTGTCTTAATTAGCCCAGTATGAGCAGAACAGTAGGACGTTAAACTCCATTTCATTTCATTTAACTAGTCTTTTTGTGTATAACAGATGTGAAACGGAGTAGAACCGCATTACATAACAGTATACTAATTGATGGATATGGCGGCCATTTAGGGTAGAGATCTATTCTCTAAGTATAAAGTACATGGATCGCTGTGTGCGGAATGACATTTATGCGAGCGCATGTTTTGTTTTACCTTTGATCTATTAGGCCAGGTATGGCGAACGTGTGGTTTAATTATCTTGTCATGTGAGATCTCAGAATTTGTGTACATGTATGTGCATAATTAGGACAATGGCATACGTCCGTCTTCATTATCCCCGTTGGTGCATTTAAAGTAGCTAAGTCTCTAACACAATATCATCCTAAATCTTCAACATTGAAAACACAAATTATTTGTCATTTTAAATCAACATTGATGTTGTGATCTTACCAGCAAAAGATGGGCTTCTGATATCCAATATTTAAGACAAAATACACATTTTACCATTGGTACACGAATCGTGTACCATAATGCGTTTCAGCGTCATTTGTAATAAGTGACTTGAAAAACGAGGCTAAGCATATTCCTCATGTCAAGTCAAACGGTGACGCCATATTCTTATCTGGAGAGCATGTGCAATAAATACTATCGGTGTAGACTGGAATAACCAGACACTAGAGATTGCCATTCAATTGAGACTTCTGGCTTATTTCGCGGAACATAAATGATTAGAAATTACAGTGAAAACAGAAAAGATTGAATGTAAATCAGTTTATATACATTTATATTACATTATTATATACGTTGCTACCCATTTGTGTCAATTTCTAGGTTCCAAATATTAGCGATTTAGCCCCTTTAAAGTAGGACATTTCATTTCATTTCAATTAATATTTTTCAGGTTTGGAAGTTTAAGTCAAATCCATAATGGTGTCACTTGTCTCAATACTCTTCTCGGCATTATTTCGACAGAAACCTTTGATCAGGCGACATGCCTTTAATCTGTGTGTACCACCAACCAGCCATCTTGTATTAGATGCAGACGTCATTGCATCACGTCCGGTATTTGTAGTTGGTGATATCCATGGTTGCTGTGATGAACTACAAGAAATTGTGTCAGAGGCGCGTAAGGAACACGGGGATACTTTGTTTATTTTTGTTGGCGATATGGTCAATAAGGGACCAAAAAATGTGGAAGTTCTGCATTTTATTTCAACGCTAAAAAGTTACGCTGTTAGAGGCAATCATGATGAAGTCGTTTTACGCGAGTTGGCGGAGCTGAAGAAGGATCCAAGTTACGAGTTGAGAGAAAAGAATGAATGGATGACCTCGTTGACACCGGAGCATGTAAACTATTTGAATAATTTACCGTACACTATCTCGTTACCTAGTCTAAATAGTTTGATAGTTCATGCAGGGTTAATACCGGGGATTCCCCTAGAACAGATCGACTATAACAACATGACTAATATGAGAAATATCATAACGGAGGACTACTTTGACGGACGGGGCCTTGTTGCATCGACGGGAATAAAAGACGGCGTGCCGTGGGCTTCGTTGTGGCCAGGCCCTGAACATGTTTATTTTGGACACGACGCGCGGCGGAAGCTGCAACAATATCCACACGCTACTGGACTTGATACGGGTTGTTTATACGGCGGTTGTTTAACCGGTATCTTCATAAACGGTTGTAAAAAAATGATTCAAATTCCAGCAAAAAAAGTTTATGTTGATCCCAATGCATAACTGACGTATTCTTTGGATGGTTCAAACTATTCCCCCTTCTGGATAATCGTATGTCAAAGCTGCTGACTGATGAATTAAAAGTTTGGGAGACCATACAGACTTATTCCCAATTTTGAAACGTTTATGTCACAGCGATATGTATTTTATTATACATGATGTGAAATTAGACGATTACAGACATAACAATTCACGGAGAACGGTAAATTATATTTGTACCGACCGGTGATAATCTTCAATGCGTTAATACCTTTTAATGGTGGAATGTGACATCAACCATATATTTATAAATGATGGAATGTGACACCAACCATATATTTATAAATGATGGAATGTGACACCAACCATATATTTATAAACGATGGAATGTGACACTGACCATATATTTATAAACGATGGAATGTGACACTGACCATATATTTATAAACGATGGAATGCGACACTGACCATATATTTATAAACGATGGAATGTGACACTGACCATATATTTATAAACGATGGAATCTGACACCAACCATATATTTATAAATGATGGAATCTGACACTGACCATATATTTATAAATGATGGAATGTGACACAAACCATATATAAATAAATGATTGAATCTGACACCGACCATATATAAATAAAAGATTGAATCTGACACCGACCATATATTTATAAATGATGGAATGTGACACCAACCATATATTTATAAATAATGGAATGTGACACCAACCATATATTTATAAATGATGGAATGTCACACTAACCATATATTTATAAATGATGGAATTTGACATCAAATATATGAAAAATAATGAATGAAGCAACATCACCGAATCTAGCAATAAAGAAACGGTCGCCATTTTTTATGTATCATTATTTAGATAATGTTTTTAATTTCATGAATTAAATTGTTTGATTTTTATAGCCAGCATTCAAATTCAGTACATGTATGTATATAACTTCCATTTTACGCATAACTTTGGGCATAGTCAGTGGCACTACCTCAGCACCCACAACCACAGGCGCCTGTAACGTGGAAAATATTTCACAAATAATATCAAGCTATGACTAAGTATATGTCTAAAGTCTGTTACGTCCATGTTCGTAAGCGAGATTATCAAATAACTGATCTGATTCCAATTTCTAACTCTGGGGCAAATAACTCATCTGAAATGAAATGAAATGGGGTTTAACGTCCTACTGTTTTGCTCCGAACTGGGCTAATGAAGACGGACATACAGTGTGCTATGAGGGAAATTTTGCCCGGACAGCGGCACTACGGCCTACTCTTATATCGAATTCCAACTGCCAAGGGATCTTTAACGTGCACACCAATGTGTACACGGGACCTCGGTTTTTCGTCCCATCCGAACGACTAGGTAGCTTTCCTTGTAAGCCCCTCCGTCCTGTATCACTGACAAGGGAGAACCACGCCCGGAAAATCTGGATGAACTTGTCTAGCTCGTTCGGATGGGACGAAAACCTAGACCCCGTTGGCGTGTACGTAACCACCCCCCCCCCCCCCAAAAAAATCTGACAGATGGAATTCGAAATAAGAGTCTGACGAAGCGCCGCAGTCTGGGCAAAATTTCCTTTATAGCACACTGTGTGGCGTATGTCCGCCTGAAGTGTTTTATGACATTTTCGCAGTTCTTGAAAACAACAAGAGCATCATTGTAGAAACATAGCTCCTATTAAAAATAATGAATTGTTTATCCATTGAACTTTTGTGTTTTTTCAATGTGTTCAATTACGAAATGCCATTCAAACAATACTTTGTTGATTATCGTGACAACGGTAGCAATTAAAATGGCTAAATCTATTTGTTAAGGCCGGCTCAATTTTTGTCAAGGTCGCTGGGATGTAAATAAGGTTAGGGCACGTGATTGTTGTCAAGATTGTAGGTTAGGTTAAGCTTTATAAAATTGCTCGAAGAATGAAAAAATTTGACTGAAATTGTCAATTTACTCCTTATTCATTTTCATTGTTTGAACTATTATAGCAAGAACTGTCAGCTCTTTGTTTAAACCTTACATAATCTTGAATACGTGTTTTTTGACCCAATTTCTTTCATTTGAGGTTCCTAATTATTGAGATCTAGCTCCTTTAATATCAATGTTTGTTTCATTTTGATTGAACATACCTTGGTATCAGTGCTGGATTTAGCTGAAACAAGGCGCATGACTATTCCACTTGTACACCCCAGCCCCCTCCGTCCCCAAATCCCCCACCCTCGCGACTAAAAGAAGGTGAAAGTGTGTTTTAAAGACAATTGAGCAAAGTCTAGGATGGTGAAGGATGTTGAAGACTGGGGATTACGTGGCTAAGTGGGTAAGGCCCTGGATCGCTAGCATGGAGGTCGGGTGTTCGATCCCTGCATTAGCCGAGAAAGTTCATTCAGATTTTCCGGCGTGGTTTCCCCTTGTCAGTGATGCAGGACGGAAGCCTGACTAGGACAGCTGTCTAGTCGTTCGTATGGGACGAAAAACCGAGGTCCCGTGTACAAATGGGCGTGCGCGTAAAAGATCCCTTGGCAGTTGGAATTCGATATAAGAGTAGGCGCCGCTGCCCGGGCAAAATTTCCCTCATAGCACACTGTATGGCGTGTGCCCGTCTTCATTAGCCGAGTTTAGGAGCAAAATGCTAGGAAAATTTGGGCACACAATTGTACTTTGTAAAAGTTGTATAAAAAAATATTGTGTTCTTGAATGTGTCCAATTTAACAGAGAATTTATTATTATTATTTAACATACTAAGAACCTAACTACTTTTTTTTGGGCACCAACCACCACCGTCTCCCCCCCCCCCCCTAGTCAAAAATTTCCCCGTACGCCTATGTACGCCATACAGCGTTCTAGGATAGAAATTTTGCCCTCGCAGCGGCGCTATGGCCTACTTATATCGAATTCTCTAGACGGCTGTCCTTGTCAGGCCCTCCGTCCTGCACCACTGATCAGCGGAACCACGTCGGAAAATCCCGAGGAACTTTCTCGGCCAATGCAGGGATCGAACCAACAACCCCAGGATAGCCAGCGTCTTACCCACTTAGCCACCGTGTCTCCTCAAGGAAGTTAAGATTAGTATACATAGATACAATATTTATGTTAAAGTTGCAATTTCATATTTTTAAGTTATATTTTTAAAATTTATTAAAATAAAGCCTTAAAATAGATGGTATCTATAAACAGTCCTACCTTGTTAAAGAATAATCCTACTAATCCTATAATTCACGATTGCCAGTTGAGAAATTGGCAAAAATATCATTTTCTTCTTCAAATTCAAACGTTTGAAAAAAGCTACTCCATGGTGGAGAATAGAAAACAAGGGAGGTAATTGGGAGGTAATTGTGTTATTATTTCCGGTGTAAATGAGTTTTAAGTGTGAGAATGACACCTATGATCGTATAATAATGAGTTGACAACCTATTGTGCAAAAGACATAGAAATAATTATGTTTTGACTTTCTTAGAAAATATGAAATTGTAACTTTAAAAGTCATTCATAAAATAGGTAGTAAAACAGAATATAGGACACGTGTTTTATAGAAAATATAACATACATATAATACAAAAAAATTAAAATAATCAATGGAAATACATAGTAACACACGGACCGTGAGGAATGGATACAGTCTCAGATTGGGTGGGACGGGGTTCTTGTAGCGATTAGAGAGAGAAATTGGGTTTAACGTCCACTCGACACAAACTAGGTCATTTCGGGACTAACATATGGTTCAAATTTATTTCAATAATTTGCTTGCGCGTAGGGGTCTTTAGCAGTGGGAGGAAACCGGAGGACCCGGAGAGGACCCACGAACTTGGACAGGTGACCCTACTCCTTGTCATAACCACGCCAGTTGACTCAATGACATGAAACTGCACGCACGTGCTAACCCTTCGGCCATCCAACCCCCCTTGTAGCGATTGAACTACGGACCATGAAACCACTGCGGTAAACAGATCCATGTACTTTAATCTTATTATAATTCATATTGACGTTTCAGCGATGTTTTTACCATTTGCCAAACTATCTCTTTGTTCTCATTATCTTGCCATTTGATATAAGTAGTAGTTTTCAATAGAGCGTTCAGCGATTTACTCATATTAACTGCTTCTATATCCTCTAGTAATACTACTACTATAGACTCTATACTCCTATCTATAACCAATTTCTGAGCTAAACTCATTTCAAATTGACACCATTTACTTCTAGCAAAATCATTGGACAAAACAACAAGAACTTTACGACTGTTTTCCATGTGTTGTACAATGTTATCAATGATCAGTTGTCCACCAAGAAAATCTCTTTCGTGGATACATAACTTAATGTTTTCACCTTCCTCCACGATAGGTAGAAGATCATGTAAAACCCAATCTCCATCTTCTACACAGTAAGCAACAAAGACGTCATGAGCAAAGTGTTTCTCTGCAATATCCAACAGCTGTTTAGGTCTGTATCTCCACATATAAATATGGTATTTAATATGCCAGATATATTTGTTGATAACAGAAGCGATCAAAATAACACAGATAAAAATACATGTTACTGTTGTCACAGAGATAAACGCTGCAGTGTTATTCAGACAAATTCTCTCTGTAATATTCAAACATCTATAGTCGTTCGGATAATCCCAAAACTTGTGTGGTTCCCTATGAATCCACCGAATTAACCAAACCAATTCACACTTACATACCAATGGGTTTCCTGCTACGGATATTGTTTTCAATCCCTTCCTCAGCATTTTAGGCAACATTTTACTTGTAATAGTCTGAATTGAATTGTGACTTAGATCTAGGGCCTTCATATTAATGGTCTCTTCAAATAAATTATTTGGCCAGGATTTAATTTGATTATAACTTACAAATAAGTCGGTTAGATTATGAAAATATTTGCCGACAACATTAGGTATGTTTTGTAATCTACAACCCACTATGTATAATATTTGAAGAGATTTCAAAGGAGCAATAGTGACATTTAGTTTATCCTCGTCTTTAAAGAAATTATTTTGAGACAGATCTAATTTTTCTAACCCATCACACCCATCAAATGAATGTTCATTGATTCGATTAGTCATCAGCTGGTTTCTCAGAAGATTAAGATACCGTATTTTGCTGTTGTTGAAAGCACGTTCTTGTATAAAAAGCGGATATGAGCTAGTCTGCTTGGAGATAGATAGCCAGTTAAGAGACTTGAAAGAATGAAAACTGTTCGTTTTTAGTAAGAAAATCGAGTTTCCCTCCAAATCAAGGATTTCTAGCTTTTCCAGGCAGTTTAAGTATCCCGGAACGATATTAACAATTCTGTTGTATTGGAGATACATTTTGATTAATTCTGGAAAGGAGTTTCCATATTTACAAAAGTCAGGCAAATCATACAGATTATTATTAGAAATGTGGATGTGTTGCAGATGTTGGTTAAAACCCGTTATTAAGGTAGAGAGATTGTTAAACGAAACATCCAATAAATGTAAATTTTGAATTCCGCTGAACGATGAGATATTAAGCAGTTGGATTTTGTTATGGGATAAATCCAGAGTTATCCTTTCCGAGGACTTAAAGTCTTCAAAAGCATCGCGTGGAATATCTGCTAAACGATTGTGCCTTGCAGTTATTGTGGTAAGTCTGCTATTTCTCTGGAAACTGGAGAATATGTTCCGTAAGGAATCTGATGTGAGTAGATTATAAGATAAATCCAATCTATCAATCCGTGATAGATTTTGAAACACATTTTCATCAATATACTGAATCTCGTTATGGTTTAGAAACAGGTCTGATACCCCGGTGTTGCTGATATTTAAAACTGTAGTTGGATCGATATAAGGTAAAGAATTGTATTTAAAATAGATTGTTGTGATTCCAGGAGGAAATTTTGGAATGTAGGTAAGGTTTGTATGAATACAATGGGCAGCCCATGCTGTACACCGACATAACCCTGTCGAACAAGCATCCTGACATGCCACAGATGTCCAACACAGAACAAGGATAACTACCACCAACATCTTTCGTCCCTCTAACATTATAAACAGTTCCTGAAAAAAGAAAAAAAAAATAGTTTGAGACGTTTGCAATTTCAATAAAACATAGATCATAGTTCAAAATTTCGTTTTACTTGTCTTTACTACACTAGGATCTTGAAGAGTTGTTACATTACCGGCGTTCTGGATGGTGTGAGGGATATCCAATGAAAGGGTCTGTTATGGCGATGTTTTTGGCGTGAGTTACACGGAACAGCTGGTAAACGACTAGAAACGTCAACGCTGATTGATTAATCAATATATGACGTCAAAGAGATAAAAGCCGCTCGCACGAACCCTGACGCGACCTTCCACTACAACCAGTCGGATCTTCATGTAGTGTAGACCATCGAAAGTATAAAAAAATGAAACGAAAGATAGATCTGTATTTTAACCAGGTAGAGACAAATGACAACATGATTGAAATAAGATTTCACTTCGCCTCGACACTCTCACTTAGACCACGTACAAGCGGGAAATGGAAACCGCAACACTTGACTCAATGACAGACCTTATGATCTCAAGTCGTTGTGCAACATGTAAAAGGTGGGGGGGGGGATGAAATCCACGCCACTTAATTCAATGATAGACTTTACGATCTACAGTGCGGGCGTTAACCCATTCGCGATCACCCCTCGGGGTGAGAGAGAGAGAGAGAGAGAGAGAGAGAGAGATGGGGTTTAACGTCCACCGGACACAAACCAGGTCACTTCGGAATTAACACACGGTCCAATTTTATTTCAATAATTCGCTTTCGCGTAGGGGTCTTTAACAGTGGGACGAGACCGGAGGCCCCGGAGAAATCCCACGTGGTTGGACAATCAACCCTACTCCTTGTCACGTACAACCAGGGAATCGAAACCACGCCAGTTGACTCAATGACAGACTTTATGATACATCGCGCACCTGTTAACACATTCAGCCACTCAACACCCTCATCTCGACGTTAGGATGTTAAACCCAATTTCATTACATCTCAAAGTAGATAAGTCGACGAATAACGAATAAAAGACTGCACAAAAACAACCTTTCCTTATGTCAATTATAAATGAAATAAAATATTTATTTCTCCAACAATATATCCGAGCAGAAACTAATACATGTAGTACAAGAAACTGAAAAGAAAAAAACTAACCTTAGATAAGATAAGATAAGATAAGATAAGATTTTTATTGCATCAAAACGTCCATGAAGGACAGCATGCACACATATACACAAGCCCTCTTTCAATAACCGACTCAGCCTTTAGATTACGTATATCTGTATACGGTATTGTGAGTCATTGTATTTTATCCGTAACTAACACAGAAAATAATATCCACTTAATATAAAAACAGCTTGAAGTAGTTTAACTTGGTGTACCTTTCAGTGATAGGGGAATCCCAGTCATATTCCATTCTCGTTTCGCTTGACAGATTTTAATTTCAATTCTATATTAAACAGTCGTTTACCGCAACATTGGCTGTATATGTGATCTATACTATTAATAGTAGTCGGATAACTAATTTATTCACACAAAGAAAAAATATAATAATAGTAATATAATATTGGGCGCGTCACATTTATAACCGACACTGATTATATTTCCACCTAAATCAAAAATGACATATCCATTTAATTTAATATTGTTTTTTTTTTAAAGATACATTATGGGAGATTAGATAAAGAGCTGGCAGTTCTCACTATAATAGTTAAAAAATAGATAATGTAAAGGGAATTTACTGAAAATTTCAAATTGATCAACTCTGAACCAAGAATTTAGCTATTGAATTTTGGGCCTAGCTTGGATCATCATTACTAAAGTCGGTATGATAAAAAACATAGTCTCGATTATCCATTTTTCAATTTAATCAGAAGCAGCAGAACGGGTTCTAATCCAGTAAATATCGCAGGCTAGTGATGCCATCGAGAGTTGATTATGGTCTGGATAGGTTAATTAATGTCTAATTAATAATTTAGATAACATTTCAAGCCTAAAGATTTAGCTCTTGCATAATTTATGTTTAAGTTACATTTGACTGTTGAATTATTATTTATTTATTTTCCGTCTGGTAAATCAACCCTACACCCGGTTATTCGTATGCCCGTAAAAAAAAATGCATTGAAAAGAATTAGTCTGTAGTCGCCTTGCAAACTGAACTGATACTTGAATAGGGCCGAATGATACAGTGTATATCTATCAGCTATTGCATCACACGTTATCTAGTGGAAATACATTCCATAATATTATATGATATAACGTAGTACAGCCTATATATATATCTATTGCGTCACGTTATCTGGACAGGTGCGCTATGGCCTACGCTATCTAGTTCAAATACTTATATACGGACATTATCTGTACATTATAAAATATCTACAAACCGATAGTCTATCTGCAAGCAGGGCTGGTTATGTACCTTAGTACGGCTTTAATTAAACATCATGAGAATACTTCCCTCTTATTCATACATGTAGGCCTACGAATAAGAACACGAATGAATGAAATGAAATGGGTTTAAGAGCGTGTCCGCGAGAAAACCATGCGGAAGGTGCTAGGGCTTCAATCACAGATTTTGACCAAATTTGGTTTATAAGTTGGGATAGTCCCAAAACACATAAATGTGCAATATTAGATAAATCTTTCAATTCCTGTATGAGAAAATTGAAAAAACATTTTTCATATGGTGAAATTGCCAAAATCTGTCTTTTCTCAAATACCAACTCTGGCAAGTCCTTACACTTTTACTATACGTAGCAGAAAGACCAAACTCACACAGTTTATCGATGACTCAGTGCTGGTACCACAATATTAACTTCAGACGATTCTGGCGAACGAGATCTGTATACGGACTGGATATTAAGCCTGTCTAAATTCCCCATTTTTCGTCACCCAAAGTTTGACGCCCTATAGCTACTTCTTTCATGGGGTGGGTTTAAAAAATGTATGCTCACGTGAACAAGCAACCTCCCAACATTTGATACAAAAAAAATGACAAAAACTAGGTAAAGGAAACAATAACCCATGAAATTAACCTGTAATTTCCCTATTTTGGAGATAATTAAACGTAGTAGATAAAAAAAAACTAACAATTTATTTTCCTTTTCATTCATATGGTGTTTACTACCAGCCCTAAAATACATTAGTATCTGTTTTATAAAAATATCTTGAAAAAAAATACTTTCAAAGGCCTGTAATCGTTCATGGCTCTTCTGGCGTCAACGGGAATTGACTTCTGCAGTTGTCACGACCTTCCATTGGAGTTTCGACGTGCTCAATCTTAACAAACATATCCATTACTCTCAAATAGACATCATTTTAAATAAAATAATCCAACGAAAATGAAAAATTCACCTAAAAGTGAGATTCGAACCACCAACCGCATGACTTCCCCCGACCCCCCTCTCACCGAGTTGCTTGTCCCAGGGCCCCAAGGTCCATGTCGTGGGCCCTGTTCAGAGGGTTTGCCTAGGGCCTCTCTTATTCTAAATCCGGCCCTGAAGGTGCAGCTGACGGTGCCCGAGAGCTGTAGCTACCATACCACACTGTTCAATGTCACCCACTTCGACGCAATTAGGCTTCGTTGCCGTTTTTAAGCTTCCACATTTCTGTATTGTAGAAATCATTGGATGTGTTCCAAAATGAATAGCGGAAACATGCTCTGAAATTAAACATTTTGTAACCATTTTCGGTAACTTGTTTGAAAATGAAATCTTAAAGAGACAATACAACAAATATGTTAAAGGGACAATACGACAATACCAAATATACAATAAATACAAATACACACTTATATAGAGTACAATATGGTACAAATAATGGCTATGGATATGATGAAAACGTATAAAAGTCAAAAATTTTATTTCTCTAATTAAATTTGCAAAATAATGTATCACAAAAGCTTTTTTTTTTAGCACGTTTCAATAAGCTGTATATTTTAAGTATTTGCATTTCGGTCATTTTTTTTACACCTATGGATACTATGTGCTTAGCACTTCAAAACCATCCAAAGAAATTCTACTTGCGACCATGAAAGAAAAGGTTACAGTGTATCTTTTTCTGCACTATAAGGACAATGTGAATATGGTACACTAAAACAAGTCCACACAAAATTAGTATGTACTGGTTTTTTTTTCCAAATTAGTGCTGGGGTAGAAGTTGACCACCCGCTTTATCAGACAGGGTCAAAATTAGAAGGTTCCTATTCCACCATAGAATGCAGTCTTTGCTTAAAAAAGGTGATAAATACACATGTGAAAACCGCAATTTTACCCATAAAATGAATAATTCCTGTACAGTCCTTTAGAGCGACATCAGACTGTAACCACTTCAGCATGTTACCTCTTGCCCCTAGGGGGTGTCATACCATAAGTTTGATCAAAAACTTCCGACCCCCCATCTTAGCACCTTTTCGTGATTTTTGCATAGTCTTCTCGCGGATACACTCTTAACTTCCTACTGTTCTGCACCGACTGGGCTATTGAAGACGGGCATATGCCATACAGTATGCTATTAGGGAATTTTTGCCCTTGCAGCGGCACTATGGCCTACTCTTATATCGAATGGCATTCGGGAAATACACCCCCCCGCCCCCACACCAGTTCAGTGCAGCTCAGTGGTTCGGTTGGGGCGATAAGTTCTTCATCTGTGAACATACTCTCAAAGCATGTCAAGTGTCCTTGACTATTTATCATATCACAACCTGCATAGGTATTTGCATTTCAATATCCCATACTTTGTTTGGAAGAGTATACATGTATATTAGTTTGGTTGCCTTGCTAATACCACTTTGTCATCCACTAAATCTTCATAAGGGCATTCGGGAAGTACCCCCCCCCCCTCCACCAGTGCCGATACATAAAAACGACAAACATCAATGACCAATACATTCACGGTCATAAATATACAAAAAAATGTAATGAGTACCTTTTTTCAGGTAATATCCAAGGCAGTTTGCTTCGATAGAATAACTATTGATAAAGCTAGTATATAAAAACACTAGAGAAACAAACAATCTGTATATAAATTA